AATTCGGTATTAACTTATTTCAGAGAACCAAAAGACGGTGAAATACTACAGGGCAACGCACGTTATGAGGGTTATTCAATGGACTTGATAGATGCCATAGCAAGATTGCTGAACTTCAAATATGAATTCGTTTTAGCTCCCGATGGCAAATATGGCAGCTTTAACAAATTAACGCAATCTTGGGATGGTCTAGTCAAGCAGCTGCTAGACGGAGTGAGTAACACCTCATCGAGATGAACATTTAAGCTTATTTTTTTCAATATTTCTTACAGAACGCCGATCTCGGTATTTGCGATCTCACCATGACTTCCGCACGGCGTCAGGCTGTTGACTTTACGCCACCCTTCATGACATTGGGCATCAGTATACTCTATGCTAAGCCTGAACAACCACCACCAGATCTTTTTTCTTTTCTTTCGCCGTTTTCTTTGGATGTATGGGTTTATATGGCCACCGCATATTTAGGTGTTTCTCTGCTAATTTTCGGTCTATCGCGTATGGCACCAGCGGACTGGGAAAACCCACATCCCTGTAAGGAGCCCGAAGAAGTAGAAAATCCTTGGTGCATGTCCAATACGACTTGGTTAGCAGTCGGTTCCATTATGGGGCAAGGATGCGATATATTGCCTAAGTAAGTGCCGCGTCAGAAGATTTTCATTATTAGAAATATATTGCCTGCTGCCGAAAAACCGCTGATCTCTAAGAGTTATCTGTAAAGAGTCAGAGACCATGATCTGCCAAGTAGTAATCACGCATTCAACCCAACCGACAACATCAAAGACTTCTAATAAATATTGAGCGTGCTCTTTAATGTCAAATTATTTGTTTTGAAGCTTAAACCATTTATAGTTAAAAACTTTATTTTTTCACAGAGCTGCTTCGACGCGTCTCGTTACCGGCATGTGGTGGTTCTTTGCCTTGATGATGTTGAACTCTTACACAGCCAACTTGGCCGCCTTTCTGACAATGTCTAGGGTAATAAATTTGATACCAACTAACTGGAAACGAAAGTTTTAAAAATAATTTCGTTTTAGATGGAAAGTTCAATTGAGAGCGCTGAAGATTTGGCGGCACAAAGTAAAATCAAATATGGCGCTTTACTAGGCGGCAGCACGATGGGCTTCTTTCGCGTAAGTGAGCGAGCTTTAGAGCTTGCATATGTATTTAGCTGAAGCTTTCACGCTTTTGGTTTCATATTTAATCTAAGCGAGCTTTAAAGCTTAAATATTTAGAGCTTAAGCTTTCATTTTACTTTGTTTATAATTTTTGTACAAGCTTTAAAGCTTCCATATCTAGCTAAAGATTTCACTTCACTTATGGTCATTTTTGCATGAGCTTTGAAGCTCTCATATTTAGCTGAAGCTTTCGCTTTACTTTTAGTCATTACTGCACAAGCTTTAAAACTTTCACTTTCCTTTTTATCACTTTTGCACGACCTTTGTAGATTATATATTTAAAGCTAGAGACTTTTCACTTAAGATTTCCTTTTTAATTTTTTCACGAGCTTACATATTCAGCTAGAGCTTTAACTTTTCTTTTCATCAATAAGGATTCAAATTTCTCCACATATCAACGCATGTGGACCGCCATGGAGACTGCGCGTCCATCGGTATTTACCAAAAACAATGATGAAGGTGTGGATCGCGTACTTAAGGGTAAAGGGCTTTATGCCTTTCTAATGGAATCAACCACATTGGAATATATAATCGAACGTAATTGCGATCTGATGCAAGTCGGCGGCTGGTTGGATTATAAAACTTATGGCATTGCAATGCCTTTTAGTAAGTGAATACAGGATATAATTTTTTATATTATATTTTTCGAAAATTTGTAAATATACAATATTTGTTCTCTGGGCACAGACTCTCCCTACCGCAAGCAGATTAGCGGGGCCGTATTGAAACTAGGCGAATCTGGTATGCTCTCGGAATTGAAGCGTAAATGGTGGAAAGAGATGCATGGTGGGGGTTCCTGCTCGCAAGCCGAGAGTAGTGGTGGTGATACTCCTGAATTGGATTTGGAGAATGTCGGCGGTGTGTTTCTTGTTTTGGGTATTGGACTACTCACTGCTATTCTAATTGGTATGTGCGAGTTTTTATGGAATATTAAAGCGGTGGCTATAGAGGAGAAGGTATTTGCTTTTATATTGATTTTTTTTTTTTTTGCAATACATAACACCATTCATAAATTCCCACAGATTTCGCTCTCAGAAGCCTTCAAAGCTGAACTCATGTTTGCGCTACGCTTTTGGATACAAACAAAGCCTGTACACACTTCTTCTACCAGCAGTGGTAGTTCGTCCTCCTCCTCCTCTTCGTCTTCTAAGTCATCGAAATCCAGTAAATCATCGTCCTCCACTTCATCCAACTCAACGAAACGTTCGAAACGTTCATCGAAATCTTATGCGCGCTCTATTTCGCAAAGCACAAAAAGCATCACAAATGTCACACACGATCTGGTGAAGAATGATTTATCGGTACACGATAAGTTGGGTAAAATCAGCTCTATGTTTTCACTAAAATCTGCACCATCCGAACCATCTATCGCAAATGTACACTTGGAACCCCCGCCGGCATTAAAACATAATTCACAGCCTAATCATCATCCTGCAGTTGAGAAGCGTACACAAATGGTTCGAGAAGTGGCTCAACAGACAACACTGACCACTGATGATCAAAGTGATCGGGACGAGGAGGAGGTACAACAACCGGAAATTGATGAAATGCCAACAGCACAACCGCATCATCATCACAATCATCATCATCATCACCACCACCATCACAAACATCACGATCATAATCATCAGCAGCAACTGGAGGATCATCAACCGGAAATGCAACTAATTGAGCGCGCACAAAATGGCAAAATTGCCCGAAATGGTCATGCCGGTTTTGGCAGCGCTGAAGTTTAAAGATAAATTTCAGTTCCCTTTCAATTCAATATTTGTACACTGTATATAACAGTACATCTACCTCTACCCCCTCCTTGAAATGTACTTATATGATTTACTAATTGTTCACTCTGATAATATATTCTAAAAAATAAATATGTTTAAATACAAAATATAGTATTTCTCCTTCAAGGTTCAAAGATTTTTACTTTCGAAAAAAAAGTAGTATTGTAGTCGAGGCATAAATGGTAATTTATAATCAAGAGTGTAAAAACTATCTAAAATTATATTAGTATCAGACTTATATATATAAATATACTGAAACTATTGTTTATTACTCAAAAAACTCGGAAACTGTCGATTGTCGCAAGTTTTTTTTTTGCTTTTTTAAAAGGAAAGTATTTTGTAAATAGATTTCCAATTTTTGCAACAAATCGACTGCAATAAGGTCGTCCTGGCTAAATGTTCCTAAATTTGAAACAGCAATCAAAGCAATTTCGTTTGGGGATATTTCATTACTCTCTGCAGTAATACTCTCAGCATCTCTATTAATATCATTAATAGTTTCTGAAGTTTTCATCAATTACAGCATCCAACTCGAAGTCTTCATTATCGGTGCATACATATTGTGTTATCTATTGCGATAAAGTCATCCGGACTAGATTCCCCGAGAGTTTTTAACAATGAGAAAATTGGAGCTAACATTGTTAACGGCAAAGCATCTTCGAGCTCAAATTAAGATGGCTAATTTCTATTTCTGTCAAATAGAAGCAATTTTTTACGGTCTGTTGAATCTTCGCCCAGGCTTCTTTAATAATATTGTCTTTAATAGTATAGCCTCTAAAAAATTTATATTTTTTTAGGCGCACCAGTCTCTATGCTTACCAAGATATCTTTTACTTGAAAGTTTCGATAATGAATTTTAAAATTTTGAATAGTTCCCTGAAAAGGCTGACAAACTGAAGTCGTGTTACTAGGCAAAAAAAAAATTATTTTAACACTTTTAAAACGCCCATGCTTTCTTGTTTTACTGCCAATTTACTGGAAAGCTTTTAATATCTGTAGACGCGAATGCTCTCTGGCGGGCAGCTTTCCCAATAGCAAGTGGCTTTTCTTTTCCCCTGCCATATTTACACAAAATATAACACTCAGCCTTTCTTTCGAAACTTTTCTTCAATGACAAACCTCGTTTTTCAGAGCCAACGTGATGTTTAGCAAAGCTCGGAAGAAAATACCTATCTCGTCAGCTTTATAAATATCCCTAGGACTATATCCGATTAGCATTAGCTCATACAAGGACTCATACATACATAAGTGAAAATTTTCAAGTAAAAAAAAAAATTTCGTAGGGTTCTTCAATAGCTTGATGATTGCATTTTTTTCCTTTAAGCTTAGGTTTGATCGCGCCATCGTACTTGTTAACACATAGACGGAACATTATTCACTAACTTTTCTAACGTACTTTTGATTTTATTCGGATAGTCCCATGTTTCATTTCGTAAATACATATTTACATTATCGATACGACACGGTTAAAATCCACCGAACATCTCGTTGATTTTTTTTTACTTTTGCCCAACTTTAGGTTTAGGTTGGATTTGTATTAAAAAATAATATCTTTGTCCGTTGAGAAGAGGTTCGCGTCCGCTCAGTAGAGGTTTTTTGCTCAATATAATAGCAAATAAATATCTGCGTCTGCACAAAAGAGAGTCCGCTTAAAAGAGGGTCAAAATTTCTAAAAATTTCATTTAGAACTCGGTGCATGAAAAAATGTCCGCTCCAGGAAGGTGTCTGTTAGGACAGGTTTCCCTGTATAGGCATACATACATGCTGTTAACATACTTTGTACAGCGATGGAATGAATACATCAGTAATCTGTTTTTCATTCATGCATAAATATGTACATACATATACATATACTATGTAGATACAGTATACCCACCAACAAAACTATCAACCGCATTCGTTCAACAGCGTTTAGCGCAGCAAGAAATTTTCAATTCCACTGAAATGTTCGTTCCGCTATTCTATTAATATAGTTTTGCTGTGTAATTCTCAGCCACCTTAAAGAAATTGTAGTTTAAGAGATTAGTTGTGTGCGGAGCAAAGCATACTTACCTGGCGTAGAGGTTACCGTGATCAAGAAGGCGGTTCCTCCGGAGCGAGGCTTGGCCATTGCACCTCGGCTGAGTTGACCTTCGCGATTATTCCTAATGCGAATAACTCGTGCGTGTAATTTTTGATAGCCGGGAATGGCGTTCGCGCCGTCCCGACATGGTTTAATAAATACACATCATGGTATAAGAAAGTAAAAAAATCTTTCGCTAACATTGAAGCGTACCTTCACATTAAAACCAACATGGTTTGCGCATAACAAAAAACACCGTTAATATTTGTTTATAAATATTTTAACTTTTTGTTATATAATATGATATTATATAATAATATGCGGTATATTTTTAAACATTTTAATTACTTATTAATAGATAACTGATTCATTCAATTTAAACTGACTTTGAGTGGACGGGATAAGTATAAATAGCTTTTGTAAAAGAATAATTCATTTAAACAATTAAGCAAAATTTATTATTGTAGAAATAATAATAAAAAATCAAGAGCCGATGTTTTTCTCTAATTTAAGTAAACATTTATAATCGCAAATTTTATTTACATTTATAGTTCAGTATTTAGCGGTAAAAAATATAATATGTAATATTTTATTAACAGCTCTTTACATAAAAAATTACCATATTATTATATGGTTCTAAGTTTATTTTTTAAATATATAGACTAATTAAATAAAATATTTGTTGAAGTTGCGATATTTTTATAGCATAAAATACGGTAGGTATACCCGATAGCTGTCTCTGCGTTTCAGCATTCAGCGATAAAAATATGTAGAATATTTTATTAACTCTATTCTTTATATAAATAAATTACCATATTGTTATATAGTTTTAAGTTTTGTTTTTAAATCTATAGTCTTCTTAAATAAATTATTTGTTGAAATTACAATATCTTTATAGTATTTCTTTATAGTATAAAATAGTAGATATATTTCTTTCTTAAAAAGTAATTTAAAATTAGCTTACGCAACACTATTACACAATGCTCAATAGCAATACTGGCAACAAATTTGAATTTATTAACAACTACTTGTGAAATGGACGGAGCTGCCAAGGCTCGTTACGCCTTTACAAATTTCCGGGAGTGCGGGAAATTCCCAGCTGAGTAAAGTATTTCATTTTATATGTTTATTTATATATATATTTGTTTTTTCAGCGAAAAATCATATTTGCGAAAATAATTTCTGTCAGTTTATGCGAACCTGACAAACTGGACACTCTAAATACTTTAGAGCCCAAACAGTCTATTTCCGACACTTTCGGTGACGAGGTAAGAGACTGTACTTCGAGTTCACATGAAGTACACGAGGAGGTATCCCTTCACTACAATATATTTGAGGAACACTCATATTCCTCACCTTTAGGAAATTTGAACAATGGGGCGATTTTGTATCATTTACAACGTAATTTTTGTTTCTTATTTGACATGGTTGCTTAATTGCACCTTACATTTTTCTGTGGTGAATATACCATTGTGAAAAAATACAAAAGTTTTACATATAATCAATATTTTTTGGACAACTTTTTCATAAATTAAAAGAAAATAGCAATATGCGGTCAAAGTTTTCCATTTTCCGGTCAAAAGTCGACCATCCGGCACTAGTTTTATCTAATTCACCTCATTTTCAGTTTATACTCACATTCAAAAGACAGCTGTTAAAATTCATGAGATTCTCGTCATGGTCGTAGAGACATCCCATAATGCAAAACACAGTGGGCGTCCAAATAAGGCTGTAAAACCAGAAAACTTAAAAAAATCCACAAAATCGTTCTGAATGATCGGAAAGTGACATCGTATGGGTTTCAAAAAAAACGTGTTGGCTTTATATTGCATGAGCAATTTGTCCATGAGAAAGCTCTGTTCAAAGTAGGTGCCGCGTTTGCTGACTGTTAACCAAAAACAGCAACGTGTTGATGATTCTAAGCAGTGGTTTGGCTATGTTTAAACATAACAAACCGGAATTTTTTTGTTTTGTTCCCAGCGACTATTGGTTGTTAGCAGACCTCAAAAAAAATGCTCGCGGACTGGACCGATCGACTTGAAATTTTCCCACGACCTTCTTAAATATATAATTGTAATAATAATTTTTTTTCGTCATCATCACTAGACCACTTTATTCGGAAGTTTTCGTTTAGATCGGCTACTGGATCAAAGGAATCCAAAATGTTTCGTTTTGTGTTACCTTCACAGTTACATTTTATTATTTATATGTATACTATAATGTTATTGTTTTGTATACATATGTATATATGTACATATTTATTCAATAAAATTATTATTAAAAAAAAACTAACAGAAAACGCGTTTTTCTGACTTTAAGTGCATATAACCGCTAAATCTGGCTTCCGCCCACTTTTCCGGGTTTTCAGACAATTAGATAATGCCCGCTGGAAAAATAAATATATGTACATACTTATCAACTATGATTAGGTAAACGCCGAAACTGATGAGACACTTTTTTTAACACAAAAGATAAATCGAAACACAGATACATATGTATGTACATATGTACGTAGGTAAGTAAGTACATAAAAACGTATTGAAAAGTGAGAAGGTCACTCTATAATGCTTTTTGATAATAAAATAGACTTTTGGTAAAAAAAAATTGTTCTTTAAAACAATACAAACTTTTTAGTCTGTCGCTGTTATAGAATTTGTATATAACTATTAATACTTCACATATCATAAATATCAACTTTCCATGCTCTTATGCTATCGTCTGCTTAGTACACTGTACTCACGCGAGTGTTGAACTGTTGTTGCTTCAGGTATTCCACTGCACGTTGGCAATGCTCAGCTAACAAAAACGACGTATTGAGTACACTGTACACACATCCATACGTACACACTGTATATTTATTTGGGTAGGTTTCATAGCACAACAAGCGTGCTCCCGATGTCTTTTGTTGAGTATCATTTAGCGCTATAATTCGCAACCACTTCATGTTGGCGAGTATACTAAAGCAAATGTATAGGTTGTAATAGTTACTCTGGCTTCTCTTCAGTTGTCGAATAAATCTTTCGCCTTTTACTAAAGATTTCCGTGGAGAGGAGCACTCTAATGAGTCTAAAATAAATTTTTGAAAGGTTTGCGACTCTATGGTTGCGAACCGATTATGAATGAATTCAAGTGTGAAAGAAAAAGATAAAATTTTGTAGTGGGGATAGATACATTTTATGTTTTCACATTCTACAAAGCTATACCTATTTCAATTATAATAAGTCAATAGTATTTATGTATTAATTAATTCACATAAATTTATTTATAAAATCGCAATGCCAAGAATTTAAGAAATAATAAGCACAGAATTGATAAGAACATTGTTTACACTCAGAAAGAAACGTCGGACCATATAAAATATACACATAAATGATCAGCATGATGAGCTGAGTTGAAATTTAGTCCGTCTGTATGTATGCAAATTCTAGTCCCTCACTTTTTAAGCCATCGATCTGAAATTTTGCAAAATGTCCTTTTCTCACTAAGAAAAGCAGCTCATTTGTCGGAGCGGTCGATATCGAACCACTATAGCATATAGTTGCCATACAAACTGAACAATAGGAAGCAAGTCTATGTATGGGAAGCTTTTTTATTTGATGTAATATCTTCACAAAATTTGGCATGAGTTATTTTCTAAGGCAATAGTGCAATCTCCAAAGAAATTGTTTAGATCGGATGACTATAGCATATAGCTGTCATACAAACTGAACGATCGGAATCAAGTGCCTGCATGGAAACATTTTTTATTTGACGAGACATCTTCACGAAATTAGATCGGAATCAAGTTATTGTAAGGAACCTTTGTAGCTGTGAAGGGTATTATAGTTTCGGTGCAACCGACGTTAACGTTTTTTCTTGTTTTAATTTATGAACGATGTACAAATAGGTTAGGTCAAATACTGTATTTTAGGTATAATGTAAAGGCCAATTAACTGAAAATTACTGTTCATAAATCGTTTATGTTTAATAATGTAGTTATCTAAATTACTGAAAATTTTTTTTAAATTATTATGTCAGCATAAATCATAATTCTCATATTACTATACAGCAGGAACTGTAACACACTTACTGAAGATAAAAAGGCGGTTTTTGGGAATGTAAAAAAAAAACTGTATCAGATGTTTTAAAATTTTAAGGGGGTATATTTAAACATATATTATATTAATAATCCATACATAATAAAATTTTTGAAAGAAAAAGACATTTTTGAGTTCACGCGAGCTCCAACTACGCTGGGGTTGACCAGCATTTGTAATAAATATAATGAAAAATTAAAAAAAAATTTTGTGAAAATAAAAAAAATATTTTAATAAAAATTTAAAAAAAAGAATCAGGGTTGATGTGGAATCCAAGACAGATTTGCGTAGTTGTCAGAATTGCAAACCAATTTTGATTTTCAATAGTGTCACAGAATTTGATTGAATTTTCGTCTTTTCGAACATATGCCAAACCAATATTCGTATCAGCTGTTTACTAGTGTGACAAATGAACAAATTTTGAACAATGAGTTCCGCTATTTTAGTTTTTATTTTATTAGAAAAAAAAAGCAACGAAAAATTTAAAAGGAAGATATTAAAAGATCACAGTATTCCTCTGGATGCACCAGGGGAGTCACATGTGAAATTTGGCTTGCATTTACTTGTATGTTTGCATACATGCTTACATTACAGATGTACAACACATTATCGACTGAAATGCATCTTTATTCAGTTGGGTGTTAAATTACGTTTATCACGTTTTGTAAATCCTCTTAAAATATCTGGACAACAATATAAATTATTTTCTTAACATACATTTTAAATCTGTCAGCGAATATCCTATTGCTTTGTTTCTGATAACAAAACTGATAAAATTGGTTTCCGTCACACCCAAAACCGTTACAATTTCTGTTTCGAACGTCAAGCCAATAATATCTGAATTCATGACACCCACTACATTTTTTTATGGGTTTCAATCCTGATTCCGACAACTATCAGAGTCTACAACACCCCTGACTTACTGAAAATTAAAATAAAAATTAAATTAAAAAAAATTTAATGAAAATTAAAATAAAATTTTTAAAAATCAAAAAAAAATTTTATGACAATTAAAAAAAATTTAATAAAAATTTAAAAAAAAATTTATGAAAATTGTAAAAAAAATTTAT